CTCTAACAGCAGACTTTCTCAGTGCAATTTGTCTTTTTATTTCCTGGTTGCTGGTACCAAGCGTGTTGATTATTTAGCCAAGCAAACTAAAATTTCTAATAATCTCAATCTCTTCACCATCTATCATGATGCTACCAATTGGCCCACTGGTGAGAATCTTTGTTTTCTTGATATTGAGCATATTGAAGGCTGCAATCCTTGACTTTCTGCAGGACCTTGTGCTTCAGGTCCTCCTCAGTTTCAGCAAGTAGGGTTGTGTCATCTGCATAACATATGATAGATGGAGAAAATATTGAAACTGTCAACAATTTCATCTTGATTAGATCAACCATCAACTCCTTTGGTACTAGCAGTCAGGAAATCAGGAGATGTGTTGCACTGGGAAAGTTTGCTGTCAGGTACCTTTCAAAAATACTGAAGAGCAATAATTTCAGTTGGAAGACTAAGGCTATAGCCTTCTTAATCATATACTACTTATAGAGAACTGGACAATGAATAAGGACGACTGAAGAAGAATTGATGCCTTTGATTTGTGGTACTGTAGAAGAATACGGAATATCCCATGGGCTGGCAAGAAAACAGTTATGACCTAGAAAGTGTGTAGTTAGGGTGCTCCTTGGTGGCAAGGATGGTGATACTTCATTTTTCATACTTTAGAAATATAGCTAGGTGAGGCTATACCTTGGAAAGGAGTCATCATGCTTGGAAAGATGGAGGGTCCGCAAATTGAGAGGAAGACCCTCAATGAGATGGATTGACATCATGACTTCAGTAATGGGTTTCAGTGTCTCAGAGATAGTGAGGATAGGACAGGATAAGGCAAGTTTCAGGCTGGCTGTTTATAGAGTTGATACAAATCATACTTGACTTGACAGCACCTAACAACTATAACAACAGGTAGTGATTTTGAAAATTTCTTCAAGTGTTTGGATGTCTGAACAACCTTTTTTTGTCAGAGATATTTTTTTGCATTTTGTGCCCATTTGTAATTGGGTTGCTTGTCTTTTGTTTTGTTTGTCTTTTCTTGTTGGGGTATTGGAATTGTCTATAAATTTTAGATATGAGTCCCTTATCAGATATTCTACCACCACATATTTTTCCTAATCTGTGGGCTTTCTTTTTACCATATTGGAGAAGCTAATTTTTTTCTTTGAAAATTTTTTAATTGTGTTTGACTTATTGTACATTGTGAGTTGATTTGTTTCCTCTCACTTCACTCACCAAACTCTTCAACCTCATGATTCCTCTCCTCAGCCTCCTATTCCCTCCTCTTCTCTCTTTGTATATCAATGCACATCTCATTAATTATCTTTATGTTTTTACAATAAAGGTCTTATACAATATCTGTTCTTTTACATCAGTGTACGTTCATGCAGTATAGTAATTTGATGTATACAGAGATTTGATTTTTAGAAAGTTCCATTCGTCTATTTTTTGTTTATTTCCATATAATCAGTAATATATATTGTGTGTCATTTGTGTACATTGAAATCACTTATATGATTGATCATGACTAATTATAATCATTCATAGAAATTGTGTTTTATAGAATTACTATTGATTGATGCCTTTTATCACCTATCTCATCAAGTCCCCATTGCACCTTACATATCCCTTCAACCTGTCAATCTGTCCACTAATCTCTGTTATCTTCATGATTTTTTTAATCCTCCCTTTATCTCCCCACTTATCCTGTCCCCCCACTTTTGAACAGATATAAATATCCTGTTTCTGTTTGCTAATTATAATAGCCATGTTGTTTGTACATTGATTGTTTCCAGGTTGATCCTCCTTTGTCCTGATCCTTTTTAGTGTTCATTGTCTATACATTCTGTTTCTGCTTTACTCATTATCTTCCACCCCAGCATCCCTATTTTTCCATAATGGCACTCTTATGTAATATTTGTCCTTTTGTGATTGAGCTGTTTTACTCAATACAATATCCTTTAGATTCTCCCATGTTTTGCAGTATTTTACAAATTCTTCATTGTTCTTTAGTGTTGTATTGATGGCACCTAACACCAGTATTTCATTGTGTGCAATTCATCTATTTTATCCTTTCTTGGTTATACATTTTTTGGCTATGTTTAAAAGCTTATTCACACTATAGATTAGGGCTTCTAAATTTGCTCCTATTTTTTTCTCTGATAACCTTTAGAAATACTTATTTTACTGCTAGGTCCCTGATTCATCTTGAGTTTGTTTTTGTGCATTGTGTGAGAGGTGGATCTTTTTTAATTTTCTGCTGATAGTTGCCAAGTTTTGTCAGTATCATGTGTTAAAAGAGGCTATTTGCCTACTTAATAAATTCCATTTCCTTATCAAAGATCAGTTGACCATAGGTGAATGGATTGATTTCTAAGTTCTTGATTCTATTCCATTTTTCCATGTGTCTGTCACTGTACCGTATCATACAGTTTTGATTACTACTACTGTGTAGTAGCTTTTGAGAACAGGGTATGTGATGCCTTCTCCTTTGAATTTCTTCTTCAGTAGCATTTTGCTTATTTGAGATTTCTTTCCACATAAAGTTGGAATTTATCTTTTCTATTTCCCTAAAGAATGGCATTCGTATTTGTATTGGGACTACATTGAACTTGTAGATTGTTTTAGTAAAACTGTTATTTTTACAATATTAGTCTTCCTATCATGCTGAGAGAAGTGGAAGGTCAGAGAAGAAAAGAAGATCCTCAACACGATGAATTGATACGGTGACTGTAACAATAGGCTCGAGCGTGTCTTGGATTGTGGGGATGGCGTAGAATGGGGCAAGGGTTAGATCTGTTGTTCATAGAATTGCTGTGAGTCATAGAGAGAGCTCTGTTGGTCTAGTGGATATAAAGTTATGCTACCAAGCCACAGATGGGAGATTTTAATCTATGGCTCTCTGGCCTGGCTTTAATTGTTTTTGGTCAAACGTTCTTCTAAGTGGTATAGCACTGGTCTGTCAATTTGCTGTATAGTGATAACTTGTGGTTGCTGTGATGCTAAACTGTTCCACTGATGTGTCAAGTGTGATAATGGTTACCCATGGTGGACAGTGTTTGGTGGGACTCCCAGATTAAAAAAGACTTGGAAACAGGAGTGGCATCCACTTCCAAAATAGTTTGCCTCCAGAAACTCTATGAACTTAGAGAAACGATGAAAGTTATACAAGTGTTCAGGTCTTTTTTTCAGAGGGTTGCTGTGAGTCTATTACTTGGTGACACTTAACAACAACATCTATGAACCAGGAAGCTCTGGTGCCTTAGAGTAAGGAGTCGTTGTGCCAACACAAAAGGATGTGGCTCGAATCCACTAACTACTCCATGAAAGAAAGATGAACAGTTTCCTCTCATGTGATTTACTCCTTCTGAAAACCCACTAGAAGTTCAGCTATGAGTCAGTTCCAACTTGACAGTACATTATAACAACAACAACAAACTTTGAACATATTATATTCTTCCATTTATCTAGGCGTCTTTTAGTTTCTTGTAGTTCCAGTTGTTGTTTACTGTCAAGTTGAAACAGACTCATAGCTGACTTTCTGGTCGCTTTTCAGAGGCAAGAAATCATTTTTCTCCTAGCAGTTAGTGGATTAAAGCCACATGGCTTTGGATTGGTAGCACAATACCTTACTACTAAGCCTCCAGAGCTCCTTTCCTTATAGTAGTATTTTGTAATTTTCTTTATATGGGTCTTTTGTATCTCTAGATGGATTTATTCCTAAAGACCTCATCTTGCAGTTGGCTATCATAATTGATATTGTCTTCTTGTTTTCAATGTTCTTTTTGTTACAATAAAGAAATCTGATGCTTTTTATATGTCAACCTTGTATCCTGTTACTTTGATGAGTTGTTCTACTAGGTCCATCAGTTTTCTAATTGAGTCTTTGAAGTTTTCTACATATAGTACCATATAACCTACATATAGAGATAATTTCACTTCCTCTTTGCCATTTTTTTATAAATGAATGTGTTTATTTAAATATTCATACAAACACGGTCCTAGATGCAGTAAATATACTTTCATCAAGGTGGTCGCTTCCCTTTTATTGCACAAAAGATTAAGTCTCAAAAAGTAGATTTCAATTACTCTCCTTTTTCTTAGCTATATACTGTTCTGTGTCAACAGTGAGTCTTAGTAGTGTCATCCAACTCACAGCTAGAGAATTCGACTGGCAGAATGTTACTATTATTTAAAAAACCAAATACAGCTTTGAATTAAAATTATTTACATCTTTACTTGAAAAATATGTTGAGCTAGCTTTTTTAACCCAAGATTCTTAAAAATATACAGTTTTGTACATTTCTACTTTGAACAAGATGAAAAAAATGTTTTGAGTATCAAACAGCACATTATCTACCTTTTAGACAGCATCTTCATCTAACCCTGCCACGGTGTTAGAAACTTGTAAATGACATGAAACTAGAAGAAAAGCTGCTCCTAAAAATGGTTTTCATTTCGAAAGTCATGACAAGTTTGGCATAGAATTGACCTGGTGGTAGCATTTCTACATGTGGAAATAACAGGAAAACCTTATAATTTCAGGGATATAGGGAGTTGTTGGGAACAATTTTTAGAAACACTAACTTGAAACTATCACGGACGTCCCCTAACTTGCCTTGACTCCGGGGTTGTCTGAATTCTAGGTTAAAGAAACATCTCTTATTACCCAAACCTAGAAGTGTACAAATAAGACTAATAATATAGGTCATCCAAATTTAACTCTTGAAAGTGACCAACGGTCGTAATCATTAAACAGCCATCATTTCTAACACTATTCTATTTACAATACTTTATGTAATAAATAACTTGCAGCAATACAGTGACAATGGAATTACTTTGTTGTCCTCAAATTTCTAGAGGCTTCATGTTACTTGCATTCCTAAAGAAATCTAAGATTAGCAAGTTTCAACCAAGACAAGATCTGAGACAGAAATGTTCCAGTACGGCACAAACATCAAGGCCTCGTCAGCACTGGGCACTGTTTTGGGTTTAAACGTTTTTCTCTCCTCCCATCAGTACAGGGAACTGTCGGTGTTGAGAAGGCTGAAAGGGGAGGGCAGCTTCTTCTTGATATGAGGCACCGCAACCCCAACTGCTGGGAGACACATGGTGCTGGCAAACTTCTGCCTGTTCTTGTTGGTGCCCCAGCTCAGGAAGGAGAGCTTTTTGGAGACCTTCTTGGTTTTATCCGTTTTCTCATCATCATCTATGGCTAAACAAATCATGGAGTAAGTTTTTTGCATCCCCACAGAGTACGTGACACACTTACTATGCATGGACGACGTGGAGTCCAGCAGGCTCACCACCTTCATCTCAATGTCCTCCTCGCCAGAGTCCTTCAGCAGTTTCATGACTTCGCTCACGGTCAGCCACTTACAATCCACATCCTGAACAGCAACAATGTAGTCTCCTTCCTTGGCTCCTGCCAGTGCAGCAGAGCAGTAAGGGTCCAGGAAGTGGACTTGAACGGGGGAGTTCCCTCTCAGGGTGAACCCCAAATCCCCTTCTTCAGCGATGAAATGGATGCTTCGGGGAGGTGTCCATCTCTTGCTAGCCGAAAACACGGACAGGGGACCCAATTTCTGGAAGAAGTCAGTTACTGTCATCTTGGAGAACTGTGGAGGTATAATTTCAACTTCTTTTTCTGTTTTGGAGACAATGTCGGGGGCATCGAGCAGGTTCAGCAGGTCGTCTTCGTCCTGGTGCTGGGCGTACTTGAGGCGGGAACGCTGGAGCGCTGCGCACAGCACCTCCTGTAGCACCTCGATGTTGCGGAGCTTCGTGCACAGGCTGGCCTCCCGGACGGACTCCTCGTGCTGTGAGATGGCACTGTGCAGGTGCGATTTCCCCAAGTCTATGCGCTGGGCTCTGTTTTTCAGTGTGGCCAATGGCGTCAATCCCTCAGGCATGTGGTCATAGAGCTGGGCCAAGCACTTCTCCTGGTGGTCCTCATCTGCGCCAGGCTTCAACTTATGGTTGATGAGGAGGGTGGCGGCGAAGTAATGGGCCAGAGCCCCGTAGTGGTGGGCCTTCACACAGGCCAGTCTGGCCCAGGAGTACGGCAC